ATATATATATACTTCATTAGCTGGTCAATGCATATATGTAAATAAAGAACGAGCGTGATGAGCTCTTTTCGAAGGGCGACAATACAATGTAGGATTAGTTAATAGCCAATCAGTTTAGATTGAATGGGAGTGAGACAACCCGATGGACAATATGCATATGTCTAATGATATATCAAAACATAACCAAAAACACTCAAGGATAGTTGAACTGAAATGAAATTATTCAAATATCAAATGTCTTTTTATTCGCATACTTAAAAAGATAAAAAAATATATTATAATCATTACAGTAAACTATAGAAATATAGTTGTCGGGATAAAGACATTTCGTACTAGGTATAGCACCGGGTGTTCGGAAATAATTTTTATCCTAAACAACTTTCAGTACGAAAATCCTGCTGTTTGTTCCTTATGTCGAGGGATCGTAACGAACATCTACGACAGGAAATCGTAAAGGTTGGTGCGAAATGTCTCATTCCCTAATTGTCTTTTAGATCTATTTCTAGTACAAAATAAATGCAGAAACTTCGGATTTTATCCGAGAGTCATGTGTACTGCAAAAAGTGTATATGGAAATCATAGGGGAAAATCAGTATTTTTACAACAACTCGAGAATGGCTCGTTCAATTATGCTCAAATTTGAACTCAATTGAGATCTTGATGAGACTGAATTGTGTAGAAAATTTCATCAAAATCTGCCTCTCCTTTCGAAAGTTATCGTGTATACGGCAGGACGTACACACTGATCGATTCTAGAGTGTACTCACTTTTTGAGTACACAAAAAACAATATCTTAATACGTCATTCGAATTCTCCCTGTACTCCTTTGAAACGATTACAAAAAACTATGAGACTCTCGCTTTTTCCCCTTAATAGCCAACCAACCTTCTTATATAAAGATCATTAGTTTATAATCAATAAATTCTCCTACAATTCTAAGTAATATATATGTTTCCTGCTTAAGACAATAAATTAAAGCTCTCTAGGACTAATTACATCCGATTGTATTCAAAACGGAAATCACAATACTATTATAATGTGTCTGTTTAATGAATAAGTAAGATTATATTTCAAACAAATGGATTATTTCATTTGTTTGAGAAACACAATGATGCAGAACAAAAAATACATTTATCTCTTCAAATAGTCTAAAGTTACTGTGTTATTCCGTGATAGGAAAGACACAAGTTTTCTCATCTGTCTTGAATTACTTAATTTTTGAATAGATTTAAAATGCACGCGTGAGTAAGGCCATCTATGATAATCTCTTTTACTATCTTGTATAGAAGCTGCCTAAAAGTATTTTTTTAACCTTTGATTTTTATGATAAAATTTTTTTGAGTAGATGAAAAATGAAGGCGAAAAAAAAAGGCAAAATACTAAATTCTGTTTACTTTTATCTTGTAATGTTGTTAATGATACAATTTGTTCGTGTTCATCATCATTATCTAAAATATGTTGTCGATTGAAATTATCATCAGATAAATCAAGTGCTGAATCTTTCGAATAAAAATTCGATGATAAATATTGATTTGTTTTTGTTAAATCATCTGTTGATGATGTTGCGGTATCCATATGTTGATCGGATTGTAATAATGAATCATTACTATTTGAAGAATATTGAAATTCTTCAAAATGTGGTAATAATTCTAAATCATCTGTATTTGATAATATTATTTGTTTAGAATTATTATCATCGTTCTGTAATATTTCGTTATTCATCACCTCTACAAAAATGTTAAAGAAAAAAAATATGTTTATATTGGACAACTTATAGGTACGCATTTTCAAGTATTCTTCTAACGGTCTAGTCGTCTTCGTTTTGATAGACTATTGTCTAAGTACTCTATATCATTATCAAATAGTATGTAAAGTAAAGTAAGACGACAAGAAAAAAAAGAAATTGAATGTCTGATTTTTGATTAAAAACAATAACTCAGATTTGGTTTCGTCGTTTTTTCTTGCTTATGATTACATGTTAAGATTGATTACTTACATTATAGAAGTATGTGACCTCCTTCATGATTGAACAGTTCAAGAAAAAGAAAAAAAAATGAAGAAAAGGAAATGTATATCGATATACTTTTTTTTTTTATTCTTTCTTTTTCTCTCACCTTGCTATTCAAGAGCAATGACACATATCTATATATATATATATATATATGTGTATATATATATATATATGAATATATATGTCATACATTTTCTATATTGCTAATAATAATAAAAGCTCACCTTGATCATCATTTTCAATCGATGATGTGATTGATGATAATAATGATTTTGATCGTTTTGTAATGAAAGGAATTTCATTTTGTTCATTTGTTATTGAAGGATTGATCTTTTCATAATTGCTATCGATAATATATGTATCAAAATCGACCTTTTCACTGTTTAAACTTGAACTTGACATGTCTAAGATAGAGAAAAGAAGAAAAAAAAAATGTGTTGATTATATGTTGCCTATTGTTTATTTATTGAGCTATCATTGTCGTCAAAACCAATTGTCCGTTAGTCTCTCACTCGCTTTTCTTTTTGTTCTTCTAACCTTGTTAACTGCAGCTGTTCGCCTTAGGATAGATTTTTGTTCGGTTCTCTTTGTCTTTATTGAAATTGAATCAAAGTAAAAGAAAGAAAGAAAGAAACGACTATTGATTCCTAGTTTTATTGAAAAACTACTCATAAAATTTAAAAAAAACCGGAAGAGATACTTTTTAGTGATATAAAAATACACATGTAACTACTAAGTGATGTCAAACTATCTGTTTCATTTCTTTTTCCTCTTTCTCTTTCTCTATGTCTCTTTCTCTCTCTCTCTCTATTTTCAATATCTAGAATATGTTCTATATTACTATCAAGACGAGAAGAAAATGAAGTAATTAAAATAATAATAATAACAACAACAGATTTCTTACAATTAATCTTAAGAGTTAACTCAAGAAAATTAGCAGATTAACAAAAGAAATCTAAGACGACAAAATGTAGGGTAATCTTCAAAAGACTACTGTTGGTTGACTATTCTAAGTAATCTAAATTTCGATCGAAAACTAAAATAACTCAAATGTCAAAAGATAAAATATTGATAGGTTTCATCACGTTTCTTTCTCTTTATTCAGTATGTTGAAAGATAAGCAGTTGAAGTTAAATGAAAGTTTTTTTTCTCTCTATGTTATCTCTCACGATCAAACTTCTATGAATGAACATTTTTTCAATCCCATAGAGTAAATCTTGCTGGGAATATTTTTTACTAATATGAACACATTTTTAACAATCTCGCTTACTATCATATCTTTTTGAATATGAATACATGTGCAATGTCTTATTGACATATTTTCATCATTTATCACGGATCACTCATGCAGTACGAGTGAGAATATTGGATACGTGACAATTTTATACGGCAATTACTGAGTCGTTCAATAAAAATAAAAAATTTTTGTTTTACTTAGGATTAATATTGAAAATCTCTTTTATTATTCTCTTCAGAAAATCATATGTCACTTGTATCAAGTGAACATTGTTCTATATATTCAACAATGTTCACAATAGTATCTAGTCTTATTATAGAAAAAAAGAACAGACAAAAGAGAAGTGTAAAGAGATCTCGATATATCATCTAATAAATATAAAATAAGTTCGATGACAGGTCATGTTTTATTTACGACAATAAAACATGAAATATTAATGAGATCGCATGTAAAAATTCAATACTTACTATATAAATAATACAAATTATCAAAAAAAAACCAACTATCTTCAAAGAATACAATTGAAAATTTTCTATATGTAATTATAATATCTTATCTATAGTTTTTTTCCTAAATGTATTCTATCTCAACAATAGGATCGATTAACTATCAAGATTATTCTTATCTACTAAAGTTTTGAAAAAATATTTCTCTTAGGATATAAAGATACAATTTAATAATTTTTATAACTCAAGACAGTCTCTATTTCAGAACTCTTTTACTCAATTTGCTTGATCTTTCTAGGCACAATGACGACGTATAAGTACCATTGTATTTCATATTGTGTCTTGTTCACGGTTATTCTATGTCTGGAGGTCCCGAGACTCGAATACAATGCCTTGATTGTAGGCGTCAAATAAATTTATCACTCATTCGTAACAGCCGTTTAATTTAGCTAACAGCAAAATCAAGACTATTGAGGAAAAAAAAACAATTAATAAAATCAAAAGAAAAAAAAGAAAAGGATGCAATATCATAACAAATGTAAACTTGAAAGAAATTTTTATATGATTAATTATTTACAAAAAAAATCTATATTTACCATTAAGACTATGTTCATCATCTTGTTCATCGTCGTCGGGTGAACATGATTGTGCCTGAGAAAGATTAATAGATTCATTTTTTGATATATTTTGATTTTCAAGAACAGTTACAACATGTGATGAGGATAATGTATTAATTGTACTATGTGAACCATGTATTGATACATCGGATGATGAACGACTTGATAATATTGGTTCAATTGGATTTTTATCTGTTTCAGAAAGAAATGTACTAAATGCACGATTAATCCATTCACCAAATGATGGTAATTTAAATTCGAATTCAGGAGGAATAGAAGAAGAAGATGTAGGCGGTTGAGATGTTGGTGATGATGATGTACATTCAGATGTTATAATAAATTCATTTAAATCATCGTCTTTTAAATAATCATCATCTTCATCTGTAATACTTTCAAGTTCATAACCACTATATAAATCTTTGTCTGTACATAATTCACTTTTAGCTGAAAAATAAGTATCATGTTCAGTTGTATGCTCGCTATTTTCTGTTATTATTTGATTTGGTAATAATACATTATTTGTAGATAATTTTAATTCAATATCACCTAATGAATCTTCTGATAATGTTAAAATACCATTTTGATTTGTTAGTTCTTCGGATGATTGTTCATCAATAGGAATTGTTATATTTGGTTGATAAAGTTTTTGTTCACTGATTATATCAACTCCAGAATCAACAGTTATTTGTGAAGATTCTATAGATGATCTTTTAAGATCGATATCATCTTGTAGATTGGATTGTTCAGGAGAATTTTTAATCAATGTTATTGATTCGTTCATATCTTCAATATAATGTGAACTAAGTTCATCAACATCTTCATCTGTACTTGCATAGGATACTTTTTTTGGTTTAGAAATTATAGGAGGTTCGAATGATACATGATTTATTGTTTCTTGTTGAACGAGACTTGGTAATGTATGATTAATATCAGTATAAAATAAAGAATTATCTGTTTGTTTAGAATTACTATTCGTTGAAAAATTCTCTAATACTAAAAAGATACAAAAAAAAA